GATTCTGGCTACGTAGGACGCACCACCCAAAGATTGGAGGTTAGGATAAAACAACAGGTTCCATCTAATATTAGAAACAAAACCCATCCCCAAAGAGAACAGCCACCTCGGTCTTGCAAATCCAAAATTACTACTAAAACCTGCGATTCTGCTATCGGGCAGCATTTGCTAGAAAACCCAGATTGTGCAAAAAACTATAATGGCGACATGTTTCGTATTATTGGAAAAGCCAGATTGTCGTTCCACCTAGCAGTTTTAGAATCTATCTACATAAGCACGAAAAAACCGCTACTGTGTAGACAAAAGGAGTTCATTTTCACCTTAGGATTCCACTGGTAACATTCTAATAGGCAAGCAGCACTGATTGGTCAACCTTTACAGTCATGTACTCGTGTTTCTGATTGGCCTATTTCGATCCACAACTGGGTATATATATTTCTTAGCGTAGAGTTTTCGATCTATGTTCTGACGTTTTAAACTCTGAAGCTTTAGTTTACTAATTGTTTGCTTTTTTCAAAGCCATTTACAAGTTTTGTACCACCAAAAGATTGTTTGCATATTTCAAGCAGAGGTACACAAATGAGGAGATTGAGGATCTCAACGCATTGGTTAAGCTTAGAGGTTAGCTGATGTCGGCCAGCTTCTCTTTATCCTTTCTCAGTTTATGTTGCACTAATCGGGTTGCACCTAAATTCATCACCGCTCGTATTTCTAAGTCTGGCGTTAGACACAGCCCAACCATTGAGCGTGCTTTTCTACAAGATGAAATTCAGAAAACTAAAACTAATATTCTGAATCTAAAACGTTTATACACACGCCAATGGTCTAAAACGCGTCCGTTTCTCACATTCTTTGATAATTTTCGACTTTGCCTCTACTTTTCTGAAATTGACCAGCGGAAGCTAAAACAGACTACAGAAAAACATGATAGGAACATTGGCATACTAATTAGGAAACGTTTTGGCGGCTTGATGAGCGATTCAAAAAAACATATTTTTAATTTGTCGGACTATTCTCTCTCTTAAACCGAAACATTTGTCTTAGGTAATGGTCTTGAATTTTGTATCCCACCACAACGAATAAACAGAGAGGAACTTTTTGCTGAATTCGAAATTTTACACGCTCAACTTGCCAGACACGATATTTTTGATGCTTTGGAATTTAAGAAATTACAAGCACGACTAAGCGATTTGGCGTACGCTTACAGCGGCTCTCCCATCGACCACTCAGATTTTCTTTTGCATAGAGAAAATTTTCAAGCATTAGAATCTCTACGGTCTAATAATGACATCTTTATTACAAAGCCTGATAAAGGGTCAGGAATGGTTATTTTGAACAAAAAGGACTACATCCAAAAAATGGAGAATATTCTCCTCGACAAAGAAAAGTTCGAAAAATTGGGTTCATGCAAAACTTGAACATCGAAAACGAAACATCTTTCATGTGTTCTTTCGACATTAGCAGTCTTTTCACTAATGTCCCTTTGAATGAGACCATCACAATATGTGTAGATGCTTTGTACCGCAGCGAGCTTAATAGCCCACCATTCTCAGAGGAAGTATTCATTGAACTGATGGAAACTGCAACACGTTCAGTTGAATTCAGCTTTAACAATGAAATGTACTAACAAAAGGATGGTGTCGCTATGGGTAGCCATCTGGGACCGGCCTTGGCCAATATCTTTGTTGGCTTTCATGAAGAGCGTTTGTTTGACTGCGACCAAAAGCCAGGTGTCTATTTTCGGTATGTGGATGACACATATACTATTTTCAAAACAGAGGCTGAGTGTGATATTTCCCTAAAACGCCTTAAAGGTATTATGAATCGAAAATTTTCCCCTTGTTTCTAGACCAATTCGATATCGCTAATTCCGAAAATGCAACTAAAAATTGCATTGTCAAATAATATTTTGGTTTTAACAATTTGAATTTAGCGCCTACGGTTCCAAAATTTGTACACAGGATCTGGAACGAGTGTGTTTTTGTGACGTAAAGTGTTTGACACATTTTTGCCAGATGCGTGCGGCCTAAGTGGAATACAGTGTGTTTGTGACGCAAGTATAACTGAATCAAATAATGCCACTTTAAATGAATCTAGCGACGAAGAAGGATCTGCAAAGGTTTATGGCGCTGTTTTCATGCCATATCAGTACGAGCCTTTGGCCTCAGACAATAGCGATGAATCTGAAGGAGCTGATGGTGAGGGGACTGATCAGGCCGAGGACGAAGATAGCATTAGGCCGTCACAACTTCGTGATCGTTTTGAAAGGCATGTTGCTTTAAATGAATGATAAGTTAATATTTCTATCAAACTATCATTTCAGAGCCAATTTATATTATTTTCTTTCGACAACACACACAAGGACGAGAATAGCTTCGGATCAGAAAACGAGTGTCAAAAGCACTTGTTTTACTATCGCCCACCGACTGCGATCTCTCTAATTTGCAAAGTACAGACCCCTTTACGCATTTCACGTACTAGTTGTTAGTAAGTTAGTAGTGCTTCTTACAGCAGTATCTTGCAGTAGTAATGATATAACAAGGAAGGCTGATAAGCAGTACTGGATTGCCAATCGTATGTATATTTTCAAAGTTTACAAAGTAGGGTGCATTCTATGTCAACTGTACGCCCAAGGTCCACCGGGGCATTTGTTTAGGTACGCCGAAAATATAAAAGCAGTTAGTAAAACAACAAACATTGTTGCGCCAGGCATAGAAAACTGATTATTAGAGAAAACTGTGGTGTAGGAGTCGTTAACTATGTACATGGCTTCATGTTTAGCATGCCAACTAACGAAACTTTTTAGTACGCAAACAATTTTTTTATTGGTTTGCACGCTGAACGCCTAATAAAAACCTGACTGTACGCCGAAAATCTTTGGGCACTTAGGAATGCACTTAAGAATGCACCCTGGCGAAGTAGGCTAGAAGAGTGTGGGCCCAAAAAAGAAACAACTTGGACTCTACCTGGTGTTTCTTATTTTCAGGTTTTTATTGTAATTTAGCATTATTTACAAGCTACATAACAGAATTTGGAAATGCAATGTTTATTATTCTCTTTCTATTTTTGATAAGTAATCATCATAGCATTTTCATTAAGGTGCTTGCAACAAATGCAGTGTTGGAAGACTAGTTAGTGCTAGGGAGTATCGTTGTTGCCGAAAGGTCCATGCAGCCTATGGAAAAGTGGTTTTTGATGGACTTTCCGACAGTCTTAGCTGCATTACAGAACACGAAGACTTCTGTAATGCAGCTAAGAACTTAAAAAAGAAGTGTTAAAAATTGTTGGTCCACTTTTAAAGCAAAAAAATGGAAAGCCATATAAAAAACATGCTGGTGTATCTGAGAATGAGTAAGTATTTTTAAATTTATAGGGTTAAAGTTTGTTGAAGCAAGACTTAGCTATTCAAAATGTTTTCATCCTACACATTTTATTTTTAAAGGACAACTGATTATTTCACATTATATAATCAAATTTTAAAAAATTAAATTTTAAAAAATTACCAGAAAAAACTACTCAAAACTAGTTGAAAGACATTTTGCTGTCTGCTTAGTAACAAAGTGCACTTTTTGCAGATATCTGCGTGCAGTTGCTTACAGAAATCTGGTGAGGTGGATCTTTGGATACCTTGGTTGGGACACAGCAAGACCAATAACTGCATGTATATACAATTTTATTAGGGAAAAATATAACACCAACAATAAAAAAACTGGCTACAAAGATTCTGCCCAAAGAGAATAACTCCCTTTGTATCCAGCACTTTTTATGGTTGGTCACACCTATTTTTAAAGAAACCTTTGCTTGATGTTTTTCAAAATAATTGCTTGAAAACTTGTAGAAAATATAAATTTTTTGTATGATTATTAACAGGTAATTTCCACTGAATTGTTACAAACAAAAATATTCTTTATATTTTTTGCTGTATTCTAGAATCTCTTTACATCCTTTTAACAAAGGAGGTTATTGCCTGGTTTCTTTTAAAATTCTGTTAATGTTCTGAATAAAATATATATGTTTATGTATTGAAAATTGATGTAACATTATGCCTATATGTAATAGTTTGTAATCAGTGCTTATATAATATGTTACTCTTAGCATGTTCATTTTCAAAATTTAAATATGTAATCTGAACATGGATTAATATGAATTAGTACTTTATTTCAAAAATTAACATAATAATTGTTTGTATATATATATATTTAGACTGAATTATTTGCTGACACACTTTTGCTTAGAGTGCCCAAGCATAGTTTCTCCACATGTTCTACAGTGACCAGTTTTGCTGGTTTTCTTCTTCTCTGTTCCTCTGGCCTTTTTTGCCTCCTGCTCCATCATGGTCTTTTGCTGTTGAGCTAAAAAAGTGATAATACTATTGTCATGATGTTAGTTTTTATATTTTTTATAATTTGCATAACTTTTTCATGAAATTCAAGGGACACCCTTAATCTTTTTGGCAAAACATTAATCAAATTTCCGAATACAGAAGAAGCTTGCATCACTTACCCCAATAGTTATTTTATAATTGGGCTTATGAGCAAAGTACAAATAATTAGCAAAGTATTTGATGAAGAAACTATCAAAATAACATTACCTGGTGGATTCAATGTTGTAATCACAAAGGATCTTTTCCTGATTTTGTCAAAGTGCCTTTCATTTTCTCAGTATCTAAGGTCAAAGATTAAACCTTATTAAAACTTACCATATATAGGTGCAACAGGGACTGGTTTAACAACTTCTTCTCCAAGCTTGTATTTGGGAAACGAAACACCCAGTATGTCCTGCCCATCATCAGTTTTCATGGTCTCTCTTGACAGATTCTCATTAAAATGACAAATTGCGAGTATGTGTCTAAGCAAATAAATAGAAAACATTTCAGAAATGGAATGGATAAGAGCTGTGATTGAATGTTTTATATTATTCAGCAATGCAACATTTATTGAAAAAAACATTAGTTTCCATATGTTGTCAGCTTTATGTCTAGAAATCACATTTACCTGCCTAACAACTCTTAATCACTCAAGTAACAAATAAAATTAGAATGATAGTCCCAAAAATTATCTATAAGCTGCACCATCTCTAATTTTAAATGTAAATACCTGCATTTGGTTCCAAGCCAATGGTAATTAATCATTTTAGGGTGCCAATGATTGAGTGTGGCATGAAAGGCTTCCAAACAACTTGTTTGAGCATCACTTGAAATACTTTTTATATCATTTAGAAGTCTAGTGTCAAGCAGTATAGGTTTCAATTTGTCAAATGCAGTAGTTCCTGAAATTAGAAAAGCAAACAATACCTTTAAGAACGTTTTCAGATTTTTAATTCTTGTGCAGAAACTTTTACTTGTATTATTGCATATAAACATATTGTTAAATATTGTATATAAACAATATTTGCTAGTATAAGGATCCAACACTTGAATTCTAACTGACTAAGGGTACCATAAACCTATGTATATCTGGAGGGAGGGGTGGATCTGTGGCCTTGTTGACATGTAAAAACTATCTAACTACCAAATTAAAGTTATTTCATTGCCAGATAGTCTAAATACTTCTTGTAGGCATTATGTTTTCTCTCACATACCATTTTTAATCCATTTCCTTTTTCGATCGAATGTTTGGTGGATGCAAGTATTGAATAATGGATCCTCGTGAGTGTATATGTCTTGTATGTGGTTAATTATCGATTTCCACTTTGCAATGATCAATTGGCCAAAACCTTGTTTTGATGATGTTGCACACCAGTATAAATGGTTACGAATGGTTGCAGTCCATTTGTTAATAATTTGGCAGTTATTTTCATTCCCAGCCTTTATTAACTTTTTTGTTAGAGTCCTGGCAATATGCCAGATATCAAAATAATGCTTAATAGCCGGATGTTCCTCTCTTAACCATTTAGCAACACCTCTGTGTCTATCTGACACAAACTGCGACACAAGAACCTCAGAATCAATGCATTTCTAGATTGACCTTTGAAGTCCAAGTAATTCCATTTGTTGGGAAGAATTTCCTTTTGTTTTATTAGCCTGAAATTTAAAAGTACATGTAAGCTTGAAGTTTGATTGGTGTAATGTACTTGGTTTATCTACTAAAAAGAGCTTCAATTTACCTGCATTGTTTATATAGATTTTTGTTTTATTAATTGACATAACCTTGAAAAAAGAGTTAATCATAGTAATTTACCTGAACAAGTTCAAAGTCAACAATCTTTTTCAAATTCGTGCAGAAAATTGTGTAAGCACCATATTTTGCTGAGTGCCCCATTGAATCAAAACGTGCATCACCACAAATTGTCACTTCCTTTTTGCTCTTCTGTCAAGAGCGTTTTGTAATTTGCCCAATGATGTAGGACAGAAGGAAACAGAAATTCGCGCTGATGCAGAAAGTAGGTCCTTGCTTTGTAGGCTGCTAATCCCATATGCTTAAATAGCAGAAGGATTTTGCTTATCGAGGCACCAGCAGTTAGTATGCCAAAACTGAGCAGAAAATTTCCTGCGGGATAACGTCCAAGCATGAATGGCTGCGATTGCCAAGTAAAGGACTTCTTTCCACATTGATCACAGTTTTGATTTACAGTTATCATGGTGCCATTTTTGACCAATTCAACATCAGGTTTGCCAACTTTGCACTTGAAGCAGAACATTGAAAATAGTTGCATCAGCATACTGCAAAACACAATGAACTTGGGCTCTTCTGCCACTGGAGTTTTCAGATCAAATCTAAAAAGTGATGCAGTGAAAAAGTTTAACCAGCAGAATATGAACTAATTCTGATTTTTGACAGTTTTTAACATTTTTGCTCTTCAGATCGTTCATCTATGGCTTCAATTGGTTGAGTGCATAAGAATAGGATTGATTCAGTTTGTCATTCTGGGAAAATTTGTTATGTGCTGCAAATTGACATTTTTCGTATTTTTTCTTTTGCTAATGCTTCAACAAGAACTGAGTAACTTAAAAAAGGTACAAAATATTTTTGCAAAAATAACATACTTTATGCGGTTTGATTGGATGTTTTTTCTTTCATCATCGTCATCGTAATCATCATCATCATAATCACCACTTTTGTCATCCATATCATAATCATCATCATCATCATCATCCATGCCCTCATCTTCGCTTTCACCGTAAGATTCATCGGATAAGCCAAAATCAGATTCTTCAGAGTTTTGCTCTCCGGGTTCAAGCATGCTTTCTGTTTCGTCTTTTTCTGTTCCAAAGTCAACTTCATCATTTTCTAGGTCGTTTGCTTTCAGCAATTTGTTGTACTTCTGTTCAGAAATTAAAATATTGTTAAAAAATTTCTGAATAGATTCAATTATTCTACATAGAAAGTTTTATTTATTGTTATATCGACTTTTTGAAAACAACAGTTTTCCTAAGTGCTTGCTTGTCGAGCTTCTTTCCTAACATGTTTTGAAATAACAAGAAACTCCTGTCGTCTAAAAATGTGTACGTAACTTCTTCAATTCTTTGTTTTTGTTGAGCAGCTTTTTAACACTTGTGGCGATTCTTTTGTATTTTCTGAACAACAGAATCCTTTTTTTCTTGCTTCTCTTACATCCCGAACAGTTTAAATTCACTTCACAGTATACGTCTCTTGTTGCAGGAGGC